AGGCAGGCCTCCTCATTGCCTGTTTTTAAAAACTAATCTTAAAACTTATTTTTATTTACTGTCTTTTAACACAGTTTGAGATCTTGGTCTATTTTGGCTGTTTTTTTGCTTGTTTTTAGTGTTTGAGTGTTTTTACTGTTGATTTATTTTATTGATTTCAGCCCCTCGTGTACAGCACTTTGTGTCAGCGGCCGCTGGTTTAAAGCACTTTATAAATAAAGTTGATTTGATTTGATTTGATTTAACCTTAGTTTCTGATATTACTTTTGTTGTGAACTGTAATAAAAGATGAGATATGTTGAGGTGACTTGTGTGTGTAAAATCTCAGGAATGAATCCAGACTATGGTCTCCTCGTGTGATGGAGGAAGGGAGAGCTCATCCATTTAAAATAAATCTGGAAGCAGAGCAGCAGGTAGGGAAAATTGATGTTTTTAAYCTTCACTGTCAGTGATGACGCATAATTTTTCTCATGAAATAAAAAATGTGTATCTGCGTCCTCCTTTGACGTGTAGGAACACAAACCAATCGGCACAGCGCACAACCGAAGAGCTCAGCCGTTTGTCGCAGCCGCCAACATCGACGACAAGCGTCAAGTGGTCAGCACAGCCTACAACACTCCCATAGGCCTCTACTCCTCGGGCAACATCCAGGACGCCATGGAGGGCCAGATCCGAGGCCTGGTTCAGCACAAGCCTGAGAGGTGCTGCAACAAATCCTGTTTTAATGCTGAAGACATTCAGTTCAATTCAGTTTAAGTAAAAACTCAGACCAAAAATAGTCCAGAACAGAACAAATTGATTTCAGTCACTTTATTTCAATTAAAACACATTAAAAACACTCAGATAACTTTTTCTGCAACGTTTTTAGATGAGATGTTTTAAATTTCAGTGATAYTGTGCAGAAGGTGACTTTTCCTATATTTGTTTAAGCTTTTCTCTCAAAATTATTTGATTTATATATMAACCAAAGGTTTTATTGCTCCTGAAAATTTACAAACTTTTTTAAATAAACCCTTGAAGAGAGTTGAAGCTGAAAAAGCTTAGACCAAAAACCATGATTTTATTTGTATTAGTATTATAATGTCAAACTCAACATTTATCTTTCTAAATTCCATCCAAGAGAAAATATGTTAAAAAAAGTTCAGAACCAAGTAAAGAAAATAATCAACACCAATTTTAGAAATCACAAAATCACATGATATTTAGATTTTTTTTACTGAAATTACTGTATTAATAGTGACTTTACCTTTTCAATTTAAATGTTTTCAAGTATTTTTATGTGTCTAATTAACTTCTACATGGAAGCAGTAGCTCAACATAAAAATTAGAGTATTTTATAAAAGGTTTTAATAACTGTAAACAACTCTCTGCCTTTGCTGTAGTGCCACCTTCAGGATCAACATCACACTTGCATTTGAACAGTTTAAAAGAAGTAATGATAAACTTCATTTTTAGCACATTTTAGTTGAACTTTTTTAACTTTCATAGTTTCTAATATACTTTWGTCCATTACAAGACTTACATGCTAATCATTCCTTGTTGTGCATCACYGTCCTGTAAATCACAGTTGAAATAACTCTTCCTGTGACCCTTTTAGTATTTAATGTTTGTTTAGTTGAAAAGAAGAGTCAGCACTTTGCAGCCTCCTCAAAYGTTTGTTGGAGATTTGGGCACATTTGTGTATGAGGTTATATGTTTCTGATTCTTTGTGTCTCTGAATGCTCAGTCCCAGGACCCTGGCCACCATTGAGGACTCTGATGTGTACCAGATGTTACTGAAAGACCAGGAGCAGCCCCAGGAGCCTCGGCAGTCTGGTTCCTTTAAAGCCCTGCAGGACTTTATCGACAGTGATGGTGAGCCTTTCCTGCCCCGATGATGCATTTCCTCTGAAACAATAAAAGTATTTCASAGGAACTTTCACACAGATGCCCGAGTTTAGCAGCAGCTGGTTGTAAACACTCTTTTATGTTAAATAATAAGTTGTGTTATATACACTCACTATCTGCATTGTTTCTGCTACTTTAATCATCCACGTATCAAATCATTCAGCTCATTCAGTGACTTTTTGACCTTTATGACATTTATACTTTTCAAAATATTAAACATTTTCCCCATAGAAACACACTGAAATCTCTACAGTAYCTTCAAAAATCACTTCAAAATCTGCTTCAACATTTACTTTCTTGCTACAAATTTTTGTTTTTCACTAAGTTTTTGCTTCTTTTAGCTTAAAGCTATGGTGTGTTGCTACTTTTAGCTTTTGGTTTAGCTGTTTTTACCTTTTAGCTGGTGTTCTGCTAATTATATCTTTTAGCCAACATAATGTTGCAAAAAAGTGTTGAATTTTCTTAACTACATAATGTCAACAATTTTCATTCAACTGAACTGAGTAAAGCAACTCACTTTTATTTTTAAGGAAAATGCTATTTAGCTGAGCTTTTGCCATTTAAATTATTAGCTASTGTTCTGCTACTTTTGGCTATTAGCTAGTCTGTTGCTGCTGATATTTTTAGCYATYAGCCAGCCTTTTAATACKTTTAGCTTCTAGCTAGCCTCTCRTCACTTTCAGCTTCTAGTTAGTGYTTAGTTATTRTAAACAGTAACYAAACACTAATACTTAGTTTCAAGCTAGTGTTCTGTTTCTTTTAGTTTTAACAACTAGGGTGGGTGTGGTGCAGTGGTTAGACAGTCACCTTAGGACCAGAAAGTCACAGGTTTGATTCCCCACCATGCCTACATTCTGCAGYGTCCTTGAGCAAGAYGCCTAATCCCTAAAAGCTTCCTGGATGCTTGAAACAGCTGCTCGCTGCTCCACATGTGGATTTTATGTGTGAAGGGACAAATGCAGAGCACATTTTTTTTAAATAAAGGAAACACGTATTTGTCATTGCATGATTCCCATGCAAATACATAGTGCATTTACATAAAACTCAGTTTTGTTATATTTTATTTGCAGAAAATGTAATTTCTCTTATTTAACCAAAACAACCATTTAACCAACCTTAAACTTTTTTTAAAAAACATTGTTGTTTCTAATGCTATAGAAAATATGTTCTTATCAGTAATGAGACATTTTATTGTTGTGCTCCCTCTTTCTTTAAGTGCTGTTCTATTAAAGCAGCACAATCTATCAAAGCAAAAGCACTTCCCATGTGTTTCCTCCGGAGCAGAATGTGTTCTGGAGTTCAAGTATGAAAAATGATTAAAAACCAAAAGGGATCATCAATTAGGATTCAAAAATTAGGATTCAAGAGACCATTGTATGTTTCTGTTCTTCATATCTGTCAAGTGTTTTCCTTTAATTTATGCACTCCAATCATTCAGGCTTGTTTTGTTGAGTGGTCTCTCTCTTTCCTGCCGCCAGGCGCTCGGCCCATTGTGACTCGGACCGTAAAAGCCCCCACAACCAAAGCTGCTCCACCTACAGGAAACCTGCAGAAACTGCCCATCTGCAACAAGTGTGGGAATGGGATTGTGTGAGTAAAAATAGATGGAATCAGCTGTGATTCACATTAAGGTTGAACATGCATCAACACATGCAAAACACCACATTTTTTACATATTAATCATCTCCTTCTGTTTTATTAGTACTCAGAGTATRTAAGAAAATGACATTCCAAAGTTGGAAACATGATACAAAAACCCCAAATTTGTCTATAAATAAATAAATGTGCCGCATTCACCAAGAAAGTCATTTTAAAACACTGAAATATGAAAATGTACTTTGAGCACAGTCATAGTTATGAAACTGTGAGTTGTCAAGTCGGTAAAACTTGTGTTGTAAAATAATTTGGACGCCTGTGTTTCTGACGGCGCAGTGGGACAGTGGTGAAAGCTCGGGACAAATATCATCACCCCGGCTGCTTCGTTTGCTCCGACTGCGACGTCAACCTGAAACAGATGGGCTACTTCCTGGTGGAGGGGCAGCTGTACTGCGAGAGTCACGCTCGAGCCCGAATGAGACCACCGGAGGGGCACGACCTCGTCACCACATTTCCCTCTGCGTAGATCCTTCTTCTGTGGGCACAAAACACTTTGGCTAATCCTCTCAGGTTCCACGATCTGTATTTAATGTGTTTGTGTGTAGAATATTCTGAACAACACAACATGCAGTCGTGACACGTTTTGATCACATTTCACAGCAGATAGCTGAGCAAGCTTGTTATTTAAAGAGGGATTGCTTTTTATCTGACAAGGGTCACTTCAGGATATTTTAAATGAGTTTCTGTAAAAAGTTATGAATGAACATATTGTTGCAGAGAGCTCTTTAAACAACCCAAATTCACAGAAGCAGTTTATTTCTGACTGGACTGATGAGTTAAAGGCTAGTCTGAGCAGGTCTACAACCAAAGTTGATTTCTGTCATCTTAAAAAAAACTCCAATGTCAAAAAAACATTTGTTTAAAAAAAGCCATCTACGACAGGTAAGATAATTACTCACAACCTTTTTCACAGAACACTGCTAAACAAATTTGRCTCAGAGAGGGACGATCACCTTCAACTTTATGCTTTAATTTACTGCAGGACTTGAGAAAAAATAGCTTAGAAACAAAAAAATCCTCTTTATCTAAATGACATGTTGTCTGATACCYGACCTCTGAAAATATGAAGATGTAGGTTTATTGCCAGAATGAGTAGAGAATTGGATGTTACATTAAAAATATAAAAATATTATTAATAATCCATTTACAGAATAAAATGACATCTTTGTGTTTAATTTTATCTGTGGAAKTTTAATAAAACTTTACAACATGATGGAGTTGTTTGTTGTAAGGTGTGCACATGTCTCATATAAAACAGAATATTTTGTTTTGTGAAAATAAAATCATTTGCCTGCTAAAAATCTGCATGAATCCAGGCTTTTTGCTTATTTCCCAAAACCCCTTGTTAATGCATCTATTATTTGTCTCTTCTCTAATGAACATGTTTATTATGCTATTTGCTTAGAACCTGTAGTTGAAGGAACTGTGGCAGATTTATGGTRCAAATTCATTTTTATTAGGACAAAATACTTTTACAATTTTCAACTTTCAAATTGTAAAAAAAGCTTGTAATGTATGTAATTCATAAACACATCATCACATTATCATTAAGCTTCATCTCCTCCTCTCACACAATGGAAGGGTTTTAAGATGTCACCAAAATGTCATGAAGAGACTCACTGAGTTTATTTATTTAGATAAGAATCATTCTCTGGAAAAAAAAAAACTTTTTATTTATTTCTTCATTCTTATCCAAACCTGGCAGATACTAGAAATTATTTCCACATATTCTTATAATGTTTAAGAAAACGCAGAAACTGAATTCTCACTTCTGAGTTCTTGACTTTTATCAAATGTGCTGCAGATTCTTTGTACATTTTAGCAAAAGCAGATAGCTTCTACTGTTACACTGATACCCCTTTAAATTTGCAGGWTTATACTGTAGTAATCACATAAAATAGTTTTACTTCTGAACAGCTCAAAAGTATGAGATTTAGGTTTGCTGATTTTCATATGAGCCATCTCCATCAATAAGCTGTGAATCTGTTCTGCAACAAGACAAACAAATCGATGATCCACTGGCAGAATGACATTAATCTAATAATCTAAAATTAATACATACAAGCCGGAGCCAAAGGATGTTTCTGTGGAAGGATTAAAAAGCTTTTTTTTTTTAGTTCAAAGAAAAGAGGCACTAGCAGAGAGGAGTAATTTAATTTGGTTCAAAGCTATTGTTGGATTTAGCTGATTGGTGAGTAGACCGTTCTCCATCCTGAAGGAGAATGTTTTTACGGGAGCTGTTCGATACTGTCAGACGGCTAAAGAAACAATTATTGACTTAATGATGAATACGCCGTCAATAGCTTACTAAATACGGAGATCTGGACTTAATGTCCCAGTCCCTTGACTCCTCACGTACACATAAAGGTAATCAGTGAGGACGTGGTCAACAGGAAGAGCTCCTYGGGGACCTGACCACTAAAAATCAAGCCCTGGTGATTAAAACAGGATGAGGGAGGACCTTGTTTCGTCTGCCTTCTAAGAAAGTCTGTTTCAGTTTCCTGATGCAGTCTGAGCACAAACATCTGCATACCTCAGCTCCGAGCGTTGGTAAATGTCAAGGTTCAGTGAAACATCACAAGTAATTACTGTACACACAAAGGCACGTCAGCTTCAGGTTTAACCTGCCACTTCACATAGAAATTTCATTTTTAGGTTGACTTTGCTGCTGCAGGGGAAGAAAGGGTAATCTTAGAAAGAAGGTCTGAATGTCACATATGCAGGCCTGTCTTTGTCAAATATGCCTGTTCTCTCCAAGCATGTATCGTTTTTTCTTTTTGTAAATCTCCTCTCACAGTAAAAAAAAAAAATACACGGGAAGTTAATTGAAGGCTCTAAATCAGGGGTGTCCAATCCTGGTTCTTTAGAACCACTATCCTGCATGTTTTAGAGGTTTCCCAGCTCAAACACACCTACTGTATTTATTCATGTATAATACTAGAAATTTAACCCTAAAAATCATCCATAAAGTGGGGGAGTAGTATTATGCACGGGTTATTGAAAATTAGATTTTTAATCCTTTTTAGCTCATAAAATGATGATCGTATTATACTTGAGATCGTATTATACATGAATAAATACGGTAATTTAAATGAATGGGTGATTACCAGGAAGAGGTGATTAAGTCCCTGAATCAGGTGTGTTTATAGCAGAGAAACAAGTACAACATGCAGGATAGTGGCCCTCAAGGACCAGGACTGGGCACTTCTGCTYTAAATCAACATCAGGAGTAAAAAAAATTCACATTTTGAAACAAAAACAAACAGTCCGGTGAACCATTCCTCATTGGACCGAGACTCTCCCCAAACAGTGTGGGTTTTAAAAACAATCTCCTCCCGACCCGGGTCCCACAATCCWGCATGTTTGAGATGTTTTCTGGCTTTCATTTCACCTGATTTAAATCAGTGGGTTATTACTGGGCTTTTGCAGAACTTGCTGAGGAGGTAATTCAATCATGTGAATCAGATGTGTTGAAGCAGGGAAGCATCTGAAACATGCAGGGGAGYGGGCCCTGAGGGTTTGGGGACCACTGCCCACATTTGGTAAATAAATGATGCATCAGGCCATCAAGAATAGATGCTCAGAGACATAAAGATTTCCATGTTTTATTTCTCTGGTTTATGAGGTAGTACATTGTGTGGACTCTTTGATTGACTAGTCATTCAGGTAATGTCCTACAGTTATTTGTTCGATGCACTGTAGGAAGAAATGGAAATGTGTATCACTTCACTTAAAATCAGACACAATAACACTAAATGCAAATTTACCAGTGTACAAAGCTCATAATAAGATTATGAGATGCCTCTGTCATGCATTAAGATCATTKTCTTAGCATAGCCTCTTTATAATTCAATAAAATGTTGATTTTTTTGTCTGTGGGTTTACAGTAAAAAGGCCACTTCCTTAATGTTCAGCTGCTTCGAACAACCTTGATATGATTACACTCACGCATTATGACAGCTCCTGTAAAGTCACTTCATAAAACACTCAATCATTTCAGAAGAAAATCGAATCCAGGTTTTCTCTGTGATTGCAGGACTATGACGTAATGTTCCGATGCATATTTTATACRAGGAGAAACACAATATATCAGCTTTTAATGTATTAACTGCAAACAAGTAAAGGATTTTGTTCTATTTTCTCTCAGTGGTGGAAGTTTTTAGCAGTTTAGTAAAAGTTTAAAAACAATTGCCCTAATGTTGAGCTGGATGAACACATTCTGAAACCAAGAACTTTTTCAATTCAAAGAGTTTTCTTTAAGCTGTGACATTTACACAAGTCAAGTTTGTGTTGCTCTTGCAGTCAAGTTTTCAACTAGACCCCAACAGTCAGAGATAAGAGACTACTTTTTTGAGCTGGTTCAATTGTTTTTAATTGTGTTACTATGTTGTAGATACCTTTTGGAAAAAACTCAGTTTGAAAAAACAGAGTTTTTTTCAATTGGATTGACAAGGTAAGAGCTGATCTGAATGGGGCAGGGACTAACATGGATTGGTGTCATCTTAAAACATTTCCAATCTTAAAGGAACTAATGGCAACTCATGCAAATGGAAGTTTAGAATAGAGATGGGAACAATTGTTCTATGAAGTGATCCAGATCTTGATGAGCCATTTGTGTGTGTGTGTGTGTGTGTGTGTGTGTGTGTGTGTGTGTGTGTGT